AATTATGTTTCCTAATTATGTGTAAACATATGATTAGATATAATTACCGTTCTTACATATGTCCACATATATCTAAGTAAATTAATGAAATTTAATATCATGTGAAGGATGACATGACACTCGCTGACATGACACTGTCCTTTGTGACGGGACCCACTGTTATGGTACAGGCTTGTTTGGTGTGGTTAGAAGTGACTAAATTATCCCCACACTATTCTCTATTTGAACTTCTGTTGAGCTTTTTTTGCACAGTGTGCCATGAGGACAATTAACCTTCATTCAGCCAGAATGTTGTCATTTCCACAAGAAGTCTTCCATTCTTCTCCCATTAGCTCAAGAAAATGACAATCATAGTTCCTGGTGCAAAATACAAAATCAAACGGCAGTGTTCTGTGGTTATCACAATTTTCCATTATATACACGTATTAATTCAAAGAGATTATCATTTAAATAAAAGCAAAAAATATTGCAGAGAGGTTGCAAACATTTTTACCATAGAGCCCAGTTGGAACAACAATACTCTACTTGTGGTCTAAGGACCGGGTTGTTAGAAATACAGAGTCTCAAAAAAAAAATAAAATAAATAAAATAAAAAGAAATACAGTCTCTCAGACCCCACCCAAGACACAAAATATTAGAGCCTACATTTACAAAAATTCCCAGGAAACTTGTATGCACATTTAAGTTTGAGAGACCCTGTTCTATGGCTAATTTTCTAATCTGGTCTTCAATGGGCCATGTGTGTATGGGACACAATTTGAAGCTTTTTCTCCTTTAAATAATTTTTCATTTCTCTTTTTTTCAGGGCTACATGCAGGTAGATATAAGGTGAACTCACCTTTCTCTGGAATAATGATGAGTATTGGTGAATCCAGAGAACTCATCCTGTTACTTCCACAAAAGGGTTTTGATCCTGACACCTTTGTGTTTGACTTCACACTCGACATGAGTAGCCACATCTGATGTGAAACCATCTACATTAAACCCCTGGCATAGGCAAATCCATGGGGCCTGCCAGAGCCTGGACGGAGAAGAACAAAACCCTGTGCTGTGCCAGCCTCATAATCATTATTGGGCGGGAGCCCATGTCGATCCATCTTGCTGGAGGCCCTCCTCTTTTCCGCGGGCCCTCTGCTTAACCAGGCATGATGTCCTCTGCCACAGACCAGTCCCTACTGACAATGTGCACACGAGACAATGTCCCACCATCCTTGCTTTCAAGGAGTATTTTGGCTATACTTCTTTTTAGACAGATTTGTTTTTTCTCTGGCAGTCTATGATATTTTCTTTTTTTTTCTTCTTTCTGCCATAGGAGTACTTTTTATTGTACTTACCAGTTGGATGATACTGTGAAAAAATGTTTGTTTTCTTTGTGTGTATTTATAATTTATTCTTAAAAATACATACTTTCTATTTCTTCAGACCATCTCTAGAATACACAGTATCACACGATTCCCCTCTGACTAACACCATCAGATTAACAGCAAGTATCTTCTACTGTTGCAGACTTTTATCATTAGATTTTTTTCTTCCCACAGAACAAATTTATTTTCTTAGACTATTCTGTTGCAGCCATTAGCCTCTATTTTGTTTTTAATTAAGTCATTTTATTGGGGGCTCATACAACTCTTATCACAATCCCTCCATCCATTGTGTCCAGCACATTTGTACATTGGTTGCCGTAGTCTATGCATTTTCAATATTGTGGAATATTACTCAGCCATAAAGAGAAATAAAGCTCTGATACATGCCACAACATGGATGAGCCTGGAAAACATTGTGCTGGGTCAGTGAGTGAGTCACCAGCGAGTGAACATGGTAGAACCTTGCTTATGTGATATAAATGCAGTAAATGAACAGAAGCCAAAGCATCTTGGTGGCTGCCAGGGTAGAAGGAGGGTTTCTGAGACTATAAATCTTTAGGGGAACAGAAAGCCTCATTCTTTTCCCTAGGAGCTGCTGGTGTTTTCCAACTGCCAACCTTGCAGTTAGCAGCCCAGTGTGTAATCCACTATGGCACCAGGGCTCCTTTGAAAACACAAACACACACACACACACACACAGATATACATATTTCAAACATGTTACAGAGCAACATCACCGAATCGGCTTAAAGTAGAAGGAAGCCAAACAAACTCACTACCATCAAGTCAATTCTGACTCACAGTGACCCTACAGGTAGACCACTGGTAAAGAATAATCTAGAGCAGATTTGTATCACTCAGAGACAGAGCAAGCTACTAGATTTGGAAGCCGGGGAAAAGTCTGCTGTGTCTCTAGATACTCCACCAATTGGAGACAATACTTTCATTTATTAAGGGAAAAATATGTTTTTACATGAGGTAGGCAGTGTCATCAAGCATTACAAGGGATATAAGGATAACCAAGAAGTAGTTAGTCATGTAATATTGGCCATAAGACTCACTCAGGGACAAACCAGAAATCAAATCTACTGCCATTCAAATGATTCTGATTCATAGGGACTCTGTATCAGAGCAGACAGCCTCATATTTCTCTCATGAAGCTACTGGTAAGTTTGAATAGCTAATCTTTCAGTTAGCAACCCAACACCTAACCTACAGAACCAACAGGACTCCTTGTGCAGGGATAAGTATCATCTAATAAAACGTGATAAGAAATAAAGAGAGCTATAGACCTAGAACTATGAATGTCAAAGAAGAAAGACATTACTTTTTACTTCCGATGTTAAGTCCCAGATGATCTGCAGTTGGGGATGACTGGACGTTGACAAACAAAGATGGAGAGAACATTCTAGAAGGATAGCAAGCACAAAGGCAGCACTAGGGGCAGGTGTAGTTTGCGAAGGGTGTGTGACCACTGGCTGGAACTGAGCTATGAGAAGGAAAGGAAGGAGAGGGGGAAAGGCGGGGAAATGTGGAGTGTGAACTTTTCTTTCTAAAATGGAAAAACTAGATAGGGAAGAAGGAAAAAGAGTAAATAGAAATTGCTGATTTTCACCGAATTTTGTAAGTTTGCAAGAGTTCATCATGTGAAAGCTACTTATCATTAGTATAGAGGCATTTTGTCAGCTTGGAGAGAAAGTAATACATTTGAAAAAACGTTTGTACTGAGGAGTGCTGAATCTATGCGCAAGAAGGTGCCAGGCTACGAGAGAGGACTAACAAACCAAGAGAAAAGTAAGTGTGAGGGTTCCCCTAATCCTTTTAGCTATCCCATCCTCAATAAGTTTGTATCACTGATAAAAGAATTAGAATGCACCCAGCTGGAAACCTAGGTATCATACCAAGTTCATATGCATCATTAGAATGAATTAAAAAGGTAAGCAGCCATCTAAGTGATGGGCCAGCCAAGCCCACATGGAAGAAGCACAACAGTCTGTGTGAACAGTTAAAAGTTTAAGATCAGAGAAGGGAATTGTATTGGAACTTAAATGTTAAGCACTCAGTTTGCAGAAGGCTATGGATGACAGTGAAAGCCCAAAATCCATTTGTAGAGTTTCCACGGAGATTAAGCAGCCACTGAATTGCCTCAGACCAGGGATGTGAAGAGCCCTGCCCTCAGACAGAGTGATCAGAAAGTGAATTAATGCAGATCAAGTTGGGTTAAATTTTAACATCTTATCATGTATTTACCCTTTTGACTAATTTTTAATTTGTTCTAGTTTTGATTATTTTCTGCTTTCTTTTAGACTGAGGTTTTCCTGTTGTTGGTTTTGTCGTGATTTCCTTCATGTGAAATCTAAAACCAAAATGACTCACAGTGACCCCTCTGTGGCTTTCCGAGACGGTAACTGTTTTACAGGATAGAAAGCCCTGCCTTTCTCCCACACAGCTGCTGGTGGTTTCGAACTGCCGATCCTGAGGATCGCAGCCCAATTTGTAGCCACTACACTTGTCAATAAAATCGTTAATATATATTGACAGTATTATTTATGTGTGTATATATGTGTATGTGTGTATATATGTATATGCACACATATTGACAGTATGATATATGTGTGTATATATGTATATATACATATGTGTGTATATATATTCTAGGGCATATATTTAGAAGATAAAATACTGTAATTCAAAATTGCATGCTAAAACTTTTACCAGCCTTAAAGTTGGGATGATCTAGGACTAACAGTTAGGTTTACCCTTTCAAACCTTTCTTTTCCAACCCATCCATTCCCTCTCTTAGGCCAGAGGATCTTCAAGGGGCGCAGTAAAAGCAGCCAATCGCAGCGCGGCCGTGGGGCGGGGCGACAGCGCTCCACCTTGTCTTCCCTGCTCACTCCTCCCCAACCCTCCCAGGTCTGGCACCTCTCACACCTGCACGTCCCTCCGTTCTCGCCCCTCCCGCGGGGAAGGGGTCCGGCCTCGCCTCTCGCGAGATCGCCCCTCGGCGGCC